TAGAAAAACATCTTTTCATACCTATATATTCCCAGACAGGGTAAGTCATTTCAAGAAGCTATTACAACAACTGTTACAATGGAGCTAGCTTACCCACAAGATGCCAGATGGTTTGAAGCATCAAGTGCTTGGTACAAAAGAAAAGGCCATCCACGAAATTAGGTATTAATGATGCAAATTAATGCAGAGAGTGAGCTATTGTTGCTATAGGTCAGAATGTTTCACAAGAATCTTTATATCTGTCTCTTTAAACCTCTTGCAGATATAAGTTGTTATCCTAAGAGTAAATTTATACCATTAATCAGATTAGCATTATGCAACATTGGACTCTCTAGTACTTCTGTTTAAATATCTGTTTAGAAATATGGAAGAGAATTATCTAATTCAGACACTATGGGCCAACCACCACTGTCATATTTGGATTTATATATTCTTTGTAAGAGTCTGTTAGACACACACATGTTGAACATGTTGAAGGGTGTAGTAACCCCTCACTTATTTATATTTGATTGGAAATCGGATGGTCTTAAGAATGCCTGATTATGTATAAGCTGCTAAACAAGCTATCTGCCCTTTATGTTGGCTTTTTTTTTTTTACTCATTGCATTAATATTCTAGGTGAGGTTCATGTTATCTTGACATGTAGTATATCTAAAAATCAAGTAGATAAATGAAAATTAAGAGTCATCACTCAATTGTTCAATTAATTCACTTAGTGGTTCAGAAAATATTTACTGGGCGTTCAATAAGTTGCTAGAGATATAATGAAAAGGGGGGATGATAACACTTCTGATGTTATTGAGCTCACCTTCAAGAGATTTGCCTCATATCAAGCTCAAATGACAGATGAACAGGCACGTGGCACCAGGCAGATCCACTTAATGGTCTGTATATGTTATGGTTGGGATCTGTATTGTTAGGGGCTTGGTTTCCAATGTGGTAACATTCAGAGGTGGAAAGAAATATTGATTCTTTATCCTCAGATTTAATTTTATTAGATTAGTGTTCAGCTTTAGAGATAGCTGAATACCCTTTTGTAAAAATGTCTTCACTTAGCCTCTGATCTTGATTTGTTTTGGTTCTATTCCTACATCAATAGACTTCACCAAAGTCTTATTTTGTGTTGTCTCCTCATCTTTCTACACTCTAAAAACCAGTGACATAGTTCTCAGTTCTTCAATACTTTTGCTCTTCTCATTAAACTCACTTTCTAGTGTTAACATTTAGTGTCCTCAAAATCACCTGAGTGGTGATGTCCAAAAACCTGTCTCTCCTGGACTCCTTTACATCTCTACTCGGATGTCTACTAGGCATCCTAAACTTGAAAGGTAACCAAAATTGAATTGAATTAAATTGTTTTCTGTTTCCTCTTGTAATATTGCTCCCAAGTAAATACATGTCTTGTTCTCTCATTTCCTTCAGAAATCTACACCAATGTCACCTTCTATCAGCCTTACTAGGTCACCTTATACAAACAGCACTATCCCCACCAGCCTACCCACTAATATTTCCTATCATCCTTCTTGAACTTATATTTCTCCAAAATAGTTCTCACCAACTGACAACGGATATATTACATATATATATATATATATATATATGTGCATGTATGTATGTCTCTCTATTTATTATATGTATGTTTATATACTTAGTTTCTTTTTCTCTTGAAAAAAATGTAACCATGAGGGTAGGGACTTTGTTTTTTTTTGTTTCCTGCTAATTATTAATACATAGTACAATGCCTTGAAAGTAGTTGGAACTCAATAAACATTTGTCAAAATAATTGCTGAATTAATAAATAATCTCTTCTAAGACTTTATCTGCTACATGAATCAATTTTGAATTAGAATATTAAAAGTTGAGAGGAAAAGAAGATCATGTCTGAGTAACTAAAATTTAAAACAATTTATTTGTAAATGTCTAGTTTAACAAGGGAATATCCTAAAATATTAAGAAACATCGATTTTTAAAAATGTTAAATCAGTTCAGATGAGTTAGTATGATAAAATATGAATAGAGAAAACAGCCTAGAAAAAAATTAATAGAGATATTTTAAACTCTGAAGGAGAAATTGCAATAGGAGATAATATGAATTCAGTTTAAGCACAGGATCTGATCTAAGGTTTTTCCTATACAGCAGACAATGTATATAAAAAGTAGTTTGAGTTCCATGAAGAGGCAGTAGAGCATAGAGAGTTTGCATCTAAATGTTAGTAATCTCATATTGTTATTTCACTTCTCAAGGCCTCAAATTGATCTATAAAATAGGATTAGATGTTATCTGTAGCATAGAATCATTATAAGAATCATATTGGGCCTCAAACATTCATATTGGGCCTCAAACATTCACTCTAAGTCATATTATATCATGAACAAAAATAATTGAACACACTTTGTGGCAGGTATTTAGAGTTCAAATACTGTAGAATGGCCCTAGTAAAATGCAAGTAACTGCAATATGATACATCATTAAGAGTAATTTCTAAAGCTTCTAAAAATAATTATCTTTGTCTGTTTTGTGTTGCTATAAGAGAATGCCTGAGACTGAGTAATTTATAATAAACAGAATTGTGTTTGCTCACAGTTCCAAAGGCTGAGAAGTCTAACAGCAAGGTGCTGGCAACTGGCAAGGGTATTCTTCCTGTGCTTTTTCATGGCAGAAAGAGACCACAAGAGGCACCAATCCCACCCATGAGAATGAAGCTCTGATGACCTAATCACCTCTTGAACAGGTTCAACCTCTTCATACTGTTAGAATGGCCATTACATTTCAAGGCGAACAATAGCAAATTTTGTTAATTTGAACAATAGAAATTTTGTTAATTGAAAATAATTTAAAATTTATCAAAATCATGTTTGTAGCCATCCATTTGATTGAATTTTTAAACACTTGAAGTACTTCTGAAAAGATGAATATCTTCCATTATTAGCTCTACCAAATTTCTATTTATAGAATAGAAATACTAATAAATACTCCTAAATAATATTCTTAATTACTGTAGACAGCTTTGTTGTCTAAAACAATGTTAATTCCAGCATATAAAAATGTCTGTCCAGCTGGGCATGGCACCTGCCTGAAATCCCAGCTGATCTGGAGGTATCAAGGCAGGAGAATCACAAATTCAAAAGCAGCCTCAGCAATTTAGTGAGGCCCAAGCAACTTAGTGAGACTCTGTGTTATGGTTTAGATATGAGATGTCCCTCCAAAAGCTGATGTGTGTGACAATACAACAACTTTCAGAGGTGAAATGATTGTGATGAGAGCCTTAACCCAATCAGTGAACTAATCCTCCAGTGGGGATTAACTGAGTAGTAACTGAAGGCAGGTAGAGTGTGCTGGAGGAGGTGGGCATTGGGACATGCCTTTGGGGCATATTTTTTTAAAATATGAGAGTGGAGTCTCTTTCTGCTTTCTAATGTGATTCTTGAGCCATTTCCTCCACAACATCCCACCACCATGACATTCAGGCTTATCTTGAGCCCCGAGGAATAGAGCTAGCTATCTTTGGACTAAGACCTCTGAAACCATGAGCTCTAAAATACACTTTTCCTCCTCTAATTGTTCTTGTCCAGGTCTTTTAGTCACAGAAGCAAAAAAGGGGACTAAAACACCCTGTATCAAAATAAAAAAATAAATCAATAAATAAAAAGGGCTGGGATGTGGCTCAGTGATAAAGCATCCCTGGGTTTAATTCCTTGTACCGCTCCTTCACCCCGCAAAAAAGTGTCTGCCCACAAACTCAGCTCTGTATACCACAAAACATCATTTTATTATAAACATTTAAGAAAGAAGATGGTAGCCAACTTCTTCATAATCTTAAAAGAGTCCAAACCTTTAAATGAGAAGGTTAAGAGATAAAATCAGTGACAGAGTTTACAGGTCCAAAGCTAGCTAGTCATAATGCTCACATGGTCCTGACCTTCAAGGATCCAGGCTCCTCCACATGTAAACCACCAGGAATCAGGTGACAATCATGGGCCTACACTGGCTCCTGCAGAGCTCCACTATTACCTCTGGGGTACTGCAGTCTGTAGACCTTTCTGAACATCATATGTGATGCAGCTCCATCTCCTTCACACATTCACTCACTTAATTCTATATCAAATATTCACTAGATGCCTACCTGTTCCAGCCCAGGGCTGGATGCTGGAAAGACAGTGTGCCCTCATGGAACCTATAAACTCATGTGTGAGATAATAACAGGCAAATAAAATAAATAGCATTATTTTCAACAATGTCATGAGGCAGTCACAGAAATGCTGGCAGTGTGAAATAGCTATATTTCAGGGAACCTCTCCCAATTTCCACTGAGTGTGACTACCAGTTTACTCCTGAAGTATAAAACATGTGTATACATTGGGAAGAGGTGGGGAAAGATAGAGATGGGAAATAGGAAGAGAAAATAAAGAGGGAAGGGTAAGTAGAACTGAAATTCTCACATCAATTAAGAAGGTAATTTTGCTTCATCCTTTAAATTTTTTAGATCTGACACAAATGCCTTCTGAGTAGTTAATTACTGACCATTTCAATAGTAATATACAGACACTGATTACTTTATATATTTTCCTTTTACCTCTAGTTAAATTACAAATGTACTTCAACTCTTGTTCCTATAAAATATGTTCTTAAATTTTTATTTTAAGGTTTTTGTCTACAATGACATGGTCATATATAGTTTTTATTGCATTTCACCCAGTTACGATATAATAAATTAGGAGTCTTAAAATAAGAGCATTTATCTAACACAATGCAAATACTTGCCTGACTTCAGTGAATATTTTGAAGTAGAAATTGTTGAGTCCTTCTTTGCTGACTTTAGTTAAGGAAAGAAGGCCTATGTCTTTTTTCTATTACTTCCAAAGCATACGGGAAAATAATGGACAAACCTTTTCTTAGAAAATTATTTCAAGGAATAGGGTGTTTTTGATATACAAATTCTAAATCAGTACTTCCATCCAATGAACGTGAACCCTTAAAACCCSCTAGACATGACACTTACCTGCATCTCTTGACAAAAGGAAGCCAAGGGCCCAAAGAGAATCTGACATTGTTCATCTGCAGTATATGTCATCCCCGGCAGCTTAGAGGGGACCATCACGGAATTGACACTCTGGGGATTTGTCTGTAGCAAACAGTTACTGGCTTTTGACCTGACAACATGCAGATATGTATAAAAATTTGAAATATTGTAAAAGTTGTTATGATCAATTAGCATAAAAAGAAGAAACATTATTAATAGTATAATACTTTCAGTTAAAAGCTCTCTTATTGAATGATTATAGAAATCATTTCATATATGGATTAATTTATTAAAAATTATTTAAGATAATCTTGACAAGTAATAATAACTATCATGTTTTAGGTAATATAACAAAGGGTTTATAAAACCTATTCATTATGAATTAACTAAGCTAATACACATAACACTGTAAAGTGGGTATCATTTCATGCATTTATAAGATCTAGAAGCTCAGACACAGAGACTAACTTGCCCAAAACCAAGTGTGACTATAAGATATCAGCTACTCTTGGGAATTTAAAGCAATTATTCTGAATTGAGTATTAATAGTGTGGATATTTTTGTACTGTACATTGTAATACAACTTCCATATGTGAACTGACATTTAATGTGGTAATAGTCTCGATTCATCAGAAGACAGATTTATATGTCTTGCATCTTTTTTAGAAATAAGTTCATTAGGGGCTACTGATCGGCTGATGCAACTACTGATGGTGTTTCAAACCGTTACTTGATTGCTGTACTCTAGGCTACCATGACTAAGAGTATGCATAGAGTATATTGCAAGTATTGCAGAACATAGTTATGGTAATGTAATAACCTAATATTTTATTCAATTATAATATTAATTTAATAAAATAAATAGGCTTGTAAATTTAAAAATGAACAAAGTTCATTTCTATAGTGAATTTAGTCAGGTAGGTGTTCCTATAATTTTTATTTAGATTTTTAAATACCTTGAACATGTGACTACTTTACATATGTTCCTTCTATTATCAAAAGAATAAAGGTAAAAAACAAGGGCTCTAAAGTGATAATTAGAATAATAGCAATATTTTTCATTTATTTTTCCAACCGGGAAGAAGTTATGTGCTACTATTGTTGCAATATAACTGGGGTCTATTACAATGGTAAGAACTATTTATTAGCAAAGCAGATGTAAAGTTCAGTAGTACCATAATGAAAAGGTGTAGATTTTGTTCAGGAAGCACTTTGGGATAGAAACAGATATTTTGGGTGATGGGTAATTTTCCCCTGGGAAATATTGAAGATCCATTTAAATACTGTGATGGATTTCTTTAAAAATCATTATAATGATTTTTCAACCTTACAAATTATCTAATTCATCCTTTCATTTTAAAAATGTAGAAATGAAGAARCAGTTAAATAACATGTCCCAAAATGCACCATGAGTCAAAAGAAAAGCCAAGAGGAGAATCATATGCCTTGACTTCTACTTTGGTGGCCTTTCCTTCTTGTCACCTTCTGGCTGGCAGTGGAAGCAGGCACACACAAACACTTACAATGCAGCAATAATAAGTGATCTCAGTACCTGAGAAATCTTTCCAAATCCTCCTTGCTACATGCAGACCATGAAACATCACCAAGATTTTGTCCTTTAATCCATTCACCAGACATGATATGAAGGCCATCGGCACATGAAGGGTGGTCATTGTCATGATTAATGCCCATGCTGATTTAGAACATATGAAAGAAAATTATTTGCATTAAAGTACTACTGTATTTAAATGTTTTATTAATGTAGTTAAATAACAGTCACAGTATTAAAAGTGGGAAAGAAATTTGTTTTAAAGAAAATAGTTTCAAAATAAAGTTAGATTTAAGATTATTTTTAACTTTTGTTACCCAGATTTTAGGTATTTTTATTTAATAAAGAATATTTCCACAATCAACCTAAAATATGTTTTGGTTTGGTTATCTATATCAAAATAATCTATAAATAAATTTTTTACATAGCAATATACATGAAGCAGAAATAGTACACTTCTAGTCAATCACCTAGATTATTATTCTGGCCTGAATCAAGATTTTTTTTTTACAAAATTGAAAACATCTTTTACAAATAGTTATATTAAAATATTAGCCTCTTAGTGCATCTTCCCCAATGGCTTCATTAGATTATCTTCTTCTACCCACAACTCAAATAAGCAAGTGTCTCTGGAAAACCTTCTTGGCCACCTTTATCTTTATTAGTGAATCCCGAATCTGTTGATTTATGTTGAATTCTATTCTGAAAAACATAGACTTATCTATGAATGGATGCTCTAGAATCATCTTAAATTCAAAATGTCTCAAAATTGCTCTCTTTACCTCCTTACTTTCTCTTTCTTTCAAATCTCTATTTACTGGTGTATTTTCTCTGTTTTTTGTTTGTTTGTTTTTGCTAGCCACTGTGTCTTTCAAATACAGAATCTTCATGTCATTATTTGTTCCTTCTTCTGCCAAATGATCACCCAGGCCATTTTATTAACTGTTAAGGACAAGCCCTACTCATTTTAAACCTTTCTCTCAACTGTTATCTCCTATTTTTATTGACACTGTTGAAGAGGATTATCAAACATTCTTATTAGATGATCTTGAAACTGGGATATTTTAATGCGGTTCTGTGCCCCTAATCTTTACCAGTATTCTGCTTCCCCTCCTCCTACCACACTCCAATGAGATCTACTTACAGTAAAATCTGATTCTGCTTTGCCTCTGCTTTCCTGTTCACTCTATGGTAATTTCCAGCTACCTGACGTGTTACATGAGCTTTTCATCTTCTTCCATGCCATTTATTGCAATTTTTCTTCAGCAATACCRAATGACTTGCAATTTCCCAATTATTTTATTTTATTTTTATTTTTTTTGTTAATTATTTTTTTTATTGGTTGTTCACAACATTACAAAGCTCTTGACATATCATATCTCATACA